GAACCCAAAGCTAAGCACTTCCCCCATTGCAAGAAAGATCAATCTAGTAGGCCAAACCAAACTGATAATTCAAAGAGACTTGCAAAGATAACTAATCATACATAAAAGAATTCAGAGGAGATTCAAATATTTCTCATAGATAAACTTGATCATAAACCCACAATTCATCAGATCTCGACAAACACACCGCAAAAAGAGTTACATCGAATAAATCTCCAAGAAGATCGAGGAGAACTTTGTATTGAGATTCAAAGAGAGAGAAGAAGCCATCTAGATAATAACTATGGACCCGAAGGTCTGTGGTAAACTACTCACACTTCATCGGAGAGGCTTTGGCGTTGATGTAGAAGCCCTGCGTGATCGATTCCCCCTCCGGCGAAGCTCCGGGAAAGGCTCCAAGATGGGATCTCACGGGTACAGAAGGTTGCGGCGGCGGAAATAGAGTTTTGTGGTGCTCCTAGATGTTTTCAGGGTATGTAGATATATATAGGCGAAAGTAGTCGGTCAGGGGAGCCACAAGGGGCCCACGAGGGTGGGGGCGCGCCTCCCTGCCTCGTGACTTCCTTGTTTACTTCTTGACGTCCACTCCAAGTCTTCTGGATTGCGTTTGTTCCAAAAATAACTCTCTCGAAGGTTTCATTCCATTTGGACTCTGTTTGATATTCCTTTTCTGCGAAACACTGAAATAGGCAACAAAAACAGCAATTTGGGCCGGGCCTCCGGTTAATAGGTTAGTCCCAAAAATGATATAAAAGTGTATAATAAAGCCCATAAACATCCAAAACAGATAATATAATAGCATGGAACAATCAAAAATTATAGATACATTGGAGACGTATCACTACCGCATGGGTGCATTAAGCAAACCCCAAACACAACAGATGGAAGTAATAACGCTTGAACTTCCACAACTTCTGCAAATGATCTCCGAATTTAGCAAACTGAAGCTTGTTGGATAGAATACAACAAGTACTATCCAATAGCGACTGGTTATAGTAAGAAGAGGCAGGGGAGGTATGCCTAACAAATAGAGGAGTGAGAACAGAGAAGAACCGGCATAACCTCCAACATCGAAAACATCATAGAAGATGCATATGAACTTCGTTTTCGATGAACTCGAGCTTGTCATGAAGATGACCCAAAGGCTCCAAATCTCACAAGGAGAAAAACCAAACAAGAACCAGGAAAGATGATGCAAGGATGCAATGGTTTGAGCTCTCTATGAACGATACGATCAAGCTACCAACTTGAGAGCCCCTCTTGATAGTACGATAATCAACCCTATAACCTGGTCTCCCAGCTACCATCATGAGACCGGTAAAACAGAAAACCTATCAAGGGCAAACCTTTGCCTTGCGCATGATCCACTTGAGCTATATGATGACAATCTTGTCCTCCTCAAGATGGACCACCTTTCTTGATTGTGCTGGGCCAATGAAGACTAGTTGTTTGCTCCCCCATACTCCACTATGGGTGAGCCACTCTTCGACACATCTTCATAGGTCCATTGTCACCACAATGGATGACAAGCTTCAAGCACGTGATCTCTTCGTGATGCTCCGCTTGAACTTGCACACGGCAATCTTGATGACGATCACCACTTGATGTCATTCTCCATGGGTTGTATGTGATCTACCTCTTGATGCAAGCCCATTCTTGATGCAAGCCCATGGAAACATACCTAACCCCACATAGAACTCTCACATAGATGACGGGTTAGTACATAAAGTGTAATGGACAATGCTTACCATACCATGAGATCACTTGACCCCACTTGGTACATCTTCTACGCTTTGTGTTTTTATTAACCTGAATCACTCTTTGTACATAGTCTTGATCAACCTGAATCTTTCCAACTCTCTTCATTTTGATGATGTCTTGAAGGTAAACATGAATGATCACACAATCTTCTTCTTCAAGACATGCTTGCAATAAGCTTAACACTCACATGACCAATCTTTGGATAATTCCTTAATAGCACATTGGTAAACTCATAAACTCCTTGAAATCAACACATGGACTTCAAGAAATGCCTATGGACAAATCCTTCAAATATAACTCAATGCAACCATTAGTCGATAGAGAATGTCATCAATTACCAAAACCACACATGGGGGCACCGCATGTCCTTTCACCTAGCATCTTCCGCAATTGGATTTCCGCCCTCCTGTGCACTTTGTCATTGCATGTTTCGTCAAACGGGGTGGCCGGCAAGCCTATATTCCGTGGACAGGGTCTTCAGCAGGGAGACCCTATGTCTTCCCTGCTCTTTGTCATCGCCATCGACCCGCTCCAAAGAATCCTGGAGGTGGCCACCAGGCAGAAATTGTTCCATAAACTTCGTGGGTGTGGCCCGGTGGTTCGTGCCTCTCTTTACGCGGATGATGCGGCGGTCTTCATGGCGCCCATCAAACGTGACATTGACAACCTCTCCAACATCCTCCACCTATTCGGGAAGGTGACTGGCTTATGCACCAACTTCTAGAAAAGTTCATTCGTCCCTATCCGTTGTGGAGGCGTGGATCTGTCGCATGTCATTCAGAACCTTACGACTGCACAAGCCGCTTTCCCAATCAAGTACTTGGGGATACCTCTATCGGTGTGGAAACTTCGCAAGGAGGATTCCAGTTTCTGGAGGACAAGGCGGCGACCAGGTTAATTACATGGGATGGTCAAAACGTAATCGCCAATTGGCATACGGCTCTTGTCAAGTCGGTTTTATCCTCCCTCGCGGTATACTTCATCACTTCGCTCATTGTGTCGCCTTCCACTCTCCACAACCTCAACAAGCTGGAATGCGCTTTCCTTTGGTCGGGTACGGACAAGACTTCTGGCGCCAAGTGCAAGGTCAATTGGGACTCGGTTTGTTGGCCTCTCGTGTATGGTGGCCTAGGCGTGCTCGACACAGAAAAATTCTCAAGGGCCCTAAGGCTTCGTTGGCTATGGTTCGAGTGGAAGGAGCCATCAAAGATGTCGGTCGGGATGGGCAGCCCCTGTGACAAGAAGGACTACGACCTCTTCTACTCCTTCACAACCATCACCGATGGCAATGGCGCACGCACGTCTTTCTGGGACACGCCATGGGTGCAAAACCGAAAACCTAAAGGCATCGCCGCACGCATCTACGCGGCTTCCACAAGGCAGAAGTGCAAGATCAGGGAGGCTTTGTGCGACGATGCATGGATTCCCATGATCAAGATGTCTGCTAACTTCTCCGTTGTGCACTTTCAGGAATTCTTGGAGCTTTGGTCATCCATTTGTGGTTTTCACCTTCAGGGCGACATGGAGGATGAGATCACGTGGAAGCTCACTAACAATGGGCATTACTTTGCAGAGTCCGCCTACAAGGGGCAGTTCCAAGGCACGCTGCGGTCACCCATGGAGCACACGATATGGAAGGTTTGGGCGCCGCCAAAGGTTAAATTCTTTGCCTGGCTTGCCTCCCAAAACAGGGTATATGGACTGCCGACAGGCTGGCCAAGCGGGGTTGGCCCAACTGTGGTTTATGCCCTCTATGCAAGCGTGAGCAGGAGACGATCGATCACCTCCTCTTCAAATGCCACTTCACGCTTCGGGTTTGGGAGATGCTGAAGGCATGGCTCCAACTGGACTACTTGGTTACCAACATGTGGCAAACGCTACCTTCTGCAAAAGAGTGGTGGACACGCCTTTCTGCTAACTCCTTCCCAATAGGAAGGCGATGGCCTCTCTCGCACTGTTAACCTCTTGGTTCATCTGGAATGAACACAATGCACGAGTCTTCCGTCACAAGTACGCCCCGCCATTCGTCCTGCTCACTCTTATAAAAAGGGATGTAGCCCTATGGGTCACCGCGGGAGCAAAAAAGTTGCGAGCAATCATACTAGGAGAGTAGTGCCTTTTGTACCTGGAGACATGCTGTAACACCATCGAAACTATGCTTCTACTTCTGGTTCTTCTTCTAAATTAATATATGAGGCAAATTGTTTGCCCCCGTTTCAAAAAATAATAATTGAAGAGGTACGTGACTTCAAATATGTGTTTAGCTAGCGGGTTACAAACCCTCCGTATCTGTCTGGATGCATCATGTGTCTAATCTCAAATTCTCAATACAACTCCATACTCTAAACTCGCATTCGCCTCCTCAAATATTGCCAAACATGCTGTGAATATATTATAATTGAATTGATCTTTTTCTTGATTTCCCCTTAATCAAATAACATCCAAAGAGCTGGCCTTTACTTCGGATCATGGATTGGAGATTGCCATATCACATTTCATAAGTTTTTGCCAGGATATACTTACAAAAGGTGAGGGTGAATGGCCCTGTCAATGCCTAAATTAAACCTCATCCAGGCACATTTACAACCAAAGGGAGTATGTTTTTGCAAAAGTTTATAGTTAACGCCACCTATTTGCTGATATTAGAGTTTTTCTTTGTCTGGTCTTAAAAAAATTTTTGCCAAGAGTTCGTTGTACTGGATGCCTTGTCTAGAAAGGAAAAATATGAGCAAATCTTCTCCTTTCTTCTGCCACTTTGCCTCTTACATATCTTGGGATTCCCATCAATTCTAAGAAATTGCGAAGCAAGAACTGGAAAGAAAGCAGAGGACAAAATGGAAAAGAAGTTGTTGACAAGAGACTCCACATGATAGCCTAGCTCAGTGAAGCATCAACCAAACAGCCACTGAATATGAAATATGCCCGGCACATTAGACTGAAATACAATCTCTGAGTCTATATAGGATCAGCACGAACTCAGACGAAAACATCCACAGTTTGACCTCG